GGGGGGCGTGGCGGTGGACCGACGTCGGGTGTGGGTGTGGGTGAGTGGGAGTGGGGAGTGGGAGTGGGTGAGTGGGTGAGTGGGTGAGTGGGTGAGTGGGTGAGTGGGTGAGTGGGTGAGTGGGTGAGTGGGTGAGTGGGTGAGTGGGTGAGTGGGTGAGTGGATGAGTGAGTGGGTGTTGTCCGGCTGGCGGGCTGGCGGGTTGGTTGGAAGATGGAGACCGAGAGGGAGATGAGATGCGATGGTGATGGAATTGGAGCCGGAGATGGAGATGAGCAGCTGCACAATGTGCCGTTTTGGGGCCGGTGACGAGGTGGGTATGGGTACGGAGCCGGGTTGGGAGAGGAGTACAGAGTACGACGTACCACTAGTATTGTTATAGGTATGGGTATGAGTAATATTGGTATTGGCATTGGATTGGGTTATGCTTTGGGGGCTGGGTCTGGGTCTGGGTCTGGGTCTGGGTTTGGGTATGGGTTTATGTATGGGTATTATGGGCAGTGAAAGATGGAGATGGAGATGGAGATGGAGATGGAGATGGAGATGGAGGTAGTAGTAGTAGTCGTAGTAGGAGTAGTCGTTGAAGGAGTAGTCGTTGAAGGAGTAGTCGTAGAAGTAGTAGTCGTAGTAGTAGTCGTAGTCGTAGTCGTAGTCTGGACACTCGAGCGAGATACTCTTACCTACCTGGGGACCAAAGTCTCAGTTGTGCCCAGTCCCTGCGACACGTTTATTCCTGCACGCTCTATGTCTACGTACTGTAATACTACAATAATACTAGTATATACTACGTAGTAGTACTACTACTAACTACCACCAACTACCACTGCCACCACCGCTACCACGACCACTACGACGACGACGACTACTAGTACCATAGTAGTCAAAGGCCTACCGAGTAAGATCTTGTTGCGGGCTGCCCATGCCCGATGCCCATCCCATGCCGATGCCCTTGCCGATGCCCAGTGTGTGAATTGTCCGCTCGGCTCCTCTTCCTCATCTTCCTCCTCCTCCTCCCCGTCCTTCTCCTCCTTTCGCCTCCTTTCTCCTCCCCTTCTCCTCATCCTCGAGGCAGCAAGGATCTCTCCGTCTCGCTCTCCCTCTCCCTCTCGCTCTCCGTCTCCCTCTCTCCGTCTCCCTCTCCCTCTCTCTCACATCTACTATACGTTGTACGGTGTATTATTGCAGTACTCCGCTCCGCATGCACACACACACACCCACCCACCCACACGCAAACGCAGGAGTCTCTCAACAGAGACTAGCCTGTTCTCACTTCTAGTACAGTACCGTACCGTACCGTACCGTCTTCTGCTTCCCCTTCTCCTTCCCCATCCCCTTCCGCTTCCCCTTCCCCTTCCACGTCTCCTTCTAGCTCCCCTCCCCCCTCCCCTCCCTCCGCGATCTGCTGCTCTCCCAACCGCTGCCGGCCGAGGTGAAGAGAAGAGGCGGTGGAGGAGGAGGGATCCTCTTGGCAGAGAGCGTGGCTGCATGGCTGGCCTGGCGTCGCATCTGCATCTGCATCTGCATCTGCATCTGCATTGCGCTGAGTTAGTGCGCCCACCTGGGGCCCGCATGGATGGATCCGCGGTGGTCGAGCGTCGCGCGGCGAGCACAGGCGTAGCTAGGGTGGGAAGTCCTAGTACGTAGTAGTAGTAGTAGGTACGGGAGTAGTAGCCGTGGTACTGTGGTACTGTACTGTACAGTAGAAGTCAAAGAAAGTGGACGAGGAGAGACAAGGCCGGGCATCCAGAAGACAATCTACACCATACCGAGTGCCATCCAATCTAACAAACTACATTCAGGACATGAGGAACATTCCATCTTGAAATCCAATCATACCCTCTTCCATCTTCCATCTTCCATGTTCTAGAAGTGTGTTGTGTTTCAAGTGGTTCATTCGTCAATGCGGGGGAGGAGATGTGCAAGCTAGTAGTAGTAGTAGTAGTAGTAGTAGTAGTAGTAGTAGTAGTAGTAGTAGTAGTAGTAGTATACTACCTACCGACCGTACTAGCTGTTCCGCTCCGCAGGTACTGTACTACTACGAAGTACTACTACTACGTACTATGACTCCTTTTAGCGAGGCAAACACACAGTCCGAAGGCGTGACGTGACGTGACGTGACGTGACGTCTCTCCTTTCCCTCTCTCATTTTCTCCATCTCCTTTTCCCAATTCAATCTCCTCTTCCCATCTCCCTGTCTCATCTCCTGTTCCCTCTTTCCTTCTTGCTCGACGGTCCATCTCATCTCTACGACAAGTACAATTCCCTATAGTACTACGTACAGTATGTACTGTATCTGATCCTGCGGGTTCACATCCCCTGCACGTACAGAACTCCTCGTTTGATCCTCGTGCGCCAACCCTTCTTCATTCTTCTTCGGACCTAGTCTTTCTGGTCTCTGCGTCTGCTTCTGCTCGTGCTTCTTCTCGTCTCCTCTTCCCCTTCTCTTCTTCCGCTTCCGCTTCCACTTCCACTTCCACGTCTTCCACCGCCGCTGCCCCGGGCTCCGAACCCCTTCATCCCTACGTTCGGCCCCTGTTCCTGACCGACCTGACCTGGCCTGGCCCCGATCACCCAAGACTCCGAAGTGCTAATAATAGAATTTCGTGAGGACTTGGATCTCGCCAGCGAGATACAGTAAGTACTGTACTACTAAGTAGTACGGCGGGCACGGGACATGTCACAAGTGACAGGAGCAGAGGTATCCCATCCGGACTGGTAGTTGAGAAGATGAAGTTAGTATGTTCGATCCATGCAGTTCGGGGAGGCACACGGGACTGGGTGAGCCGACCGACGGCACCGCCAACATGACATGAGCTGTGTAGGTAGTACTAGTACTACTGGTTGTTGTAGGTACCTATTACCTATTACTTCATTTTGCCACCGGCGCAGTCAATCCTTCAAGGCCCGCATATCGTGTACGGGGGCGGTGGGGGGAAGAGATTCGACTTCCCCCCCCCCCCCCACCACACACGCCCCCTTGACAATTCCGGAGCTACCGGCTTGTCAGTCCTGTAATGGTCGACGTACCTGGACGTATACGGAGTACGAACGGAGCGGAGGGACAGCATGATGCCAGGAACGTACGTACCCCTGGCTTTGCAGCCTGCTTGCGGACTACGGTAAGGTTTGAGGCCGCAGAAGCGGGTTCAAGCCGTGCTGGATATTCCCCGTACCATCCTAACCTCCCCCTCCCCCCTCCCCCCTCCCCCTCCCCCCTCCCCCCTCCTCCTCCTCTCCCCTTCTCCCTCTCCCTCTCCCTCTCCCTCTCCCTCTCCCTCTCCCTCTCCCTGTCCCTCTCTCCTGGGACCCTTTTTGACTTTGAAATGAGATGTGGGGGCCCAGCCCAGCCCCAGCACCAGCAACCAGCACCAGCCCAGCCAGGCTCAGGCTCAGGCTCAGCGCATCAGTCACGACCAGGACCAGGATCAGGACTAGGATCAGGATCAGGACCAGGACCAGGACCAGGGCCAGGACCAGGACGAGGACACATGTGGCCGAGTCTGAGACCGAGTCTGAGCCCTACGGAGAGTACTCTCTGTACAGATAGAGTACGGAGCGATGAGCCACCAGGGTAACGGATGAACTGAAATCGAATTTGAACCTGCACCTGGACTCGAATTGAACGGAGCTGATCCCCATCCCCATCCCTATCCTTGAAGCACGATGAGCCGGGGGCGGGAATCCGGATTGGGACTGGGCACTGGCCTTCGCCCTAGGTAATGATCGCCTGGTGTTTTGCTTTACTTCCGTTTGATTTCCCAATACTCTGTTTTCTTGTTGGAAGGGAAGTGGGAGACGTGCAGCCATGCGCATAATGCAGTGTGCATGTAGTAGTATAGTCCTACGGGTCGTAAGTACTACGTATACTTGGGGAGTAGGAGCAGGAGTAGGAGCAGGAGTCGGAGTAGTCGTGGTGGGTGGTGGGTGGTGCGTGGTACTTAGTGGTACTACTATTAGTACAACGTACCTGCTGTAAGGACTACTTACTACTACGTACTTACCACTTACTACGTACGTGTAGTATACCTACCTCTAGTACGGTATACCTCTTTGCCAGCTTATCTGATCAATCACTGTACCAGGGTGGGAACAGGATAGGGGATCTTGGAATCGCTGCAGAGTGACGACAGGCGAGGGAAGAGCAGGAGGGAAGGAATGTGAGACATACAGTAGTAGTACGTGGGGGGCCCTGGCTGGCTGGCTGACTGGCTGGCTGGCTGACTGGCTGGCTGGGTGGGCGGGCTGAATAGCTGGCTGGCTGAATAACTGGCTGAATAGCTGGCGGGCTGGCTGACTGGCGGGCTGGATTGCCGGCGACCGCTACCGCGATGCTACCGTAGATTCGCGCCGTATCACATAGAGAGGGAGTAGTAGATTACTCCTCCGCCTGCAATCTCATCTTCGCGACATTGCTTTTCTACCCCGTACGCCTCAGCCGTGGTCTGCATCTGCATCTGCGTCTGCATCTGCATCTGCACCCGCACCTGCACCTGCACCTGCACCTGCACCTGCACCCGCACCTGCACCTGCACCTGCACCTGCACCTGTGGATTCATCAACCCCGAGCGAGTCGAAACTCAATCTCGGGTCCAAAAGTCAATTGTCAGCCTGGACCACGTGGGAAGTGAGTGGGCGTTCAGTCGTTAGTCACGTACGGGATGTCTGTCGTACTAGTCCTACGACTACGACTGTACCGGTAGGGACAGCGTAGTCATCCTCCCTCCCCTCCTGCGATCGAGCACGTAATGGAGTGTCCACATTGATCATCGAGCTACTAATAATACTCCTACTACTACTACTACTACTACGACTACGACTACGATACGGACTCACAACTGCTTCCGGAACTTCTCGAGAACCCTGGTCAATACGACGGGTCGGTCGTCGGCCCCATCTCCCTCACAACGCTCAGACGCAGCCAAAGGTAGTGAGCTAGTTGGAGGTCCAGACCTGCTGGTTGGTAGGTAGAGCCATGGAGCCAGCAACGCCTGCGTGCGCGCCGCTGTCTCTGCTGTCGGAACGTCGCCGAGGGCGGAGGGGGATCAGGGACGAAGAGGCCAGAGGAGTCCATTCAGACAGCCAGCAGCTCCGGGACCAGACACCAGAAGATGATGTTGAAATAATCTATAGACTTTCGAGCGGTGCCGCATCTAAGCTTCACTGACAGTTGAGGGCGGTGAACCCTAAATCGGGAATCTGGAGGGGCTGGAATCTGGAGGGGCTGGAGGGGCTGGAGGGGCTGGAGGGGCGAGAGGGGCCGCTGAACCCTACGAGCGGCGCCGTTCGTGCGTGATTTTGAACTCTTATTTGGGTGCCGGGGACTATCAATCGGCCCATACGGACTTGTACGCGCCGTACCGTACAATACAGCACAGCACAGCACAGCACGGAGTATGTCCATGCGGGCCGGCGGCGGCCGGCGGCGCCTCCGCTCGCCAATCATGAGCTGCACGGCCCGGAAGGGTGAAGATGGAAAGGGAAGGAGGAGGATGGTATGATGGTGATGAAGAGTCCAGCTGAAGAATGAAGGTCGACGGCGAATGGTTCATGCCGATGACCACGGAGGAATATCAAGGATGAAGATGTAGAGTGTAGAGTGTAGAATGTAGAATGTAGAATGTAGAATGCATCAATGAAAAGTGAAGATACGCAGGCACTGGGTAAAGGCCGTTCGGTGCCAGGGCCCTGTCCGTCGATGCGGGGGGACTGGCGGAGGCGGACTTTCTCTGATTGGTCATCAGCCGGTCGACTTCCCAGTAGTTAATGTGCTCAACTTCCTAGATGGGATAGGCTCGTCACTTCTCACTTCTCCCTCGTCACTTCTCACTCGTCCATCTCGAGTCTCGGTGCGCGGCCGATAACGTACTCGGACTCGGAGTCGGGCTCGTATTCGTATTTTAAACCATGATTCGGATTCGTATTCGGACTCGGAATCGGGTCCGGACTCGGACTCGGACTCGGGTACTATCAATATCAATATTAACATCAACCTCGGCGTCCACAGCCGACAGGCAACCATCAACCGGCGGTGAGGGTCTTGCATCCCCCATCCATCTTGCATCCCATCTTGCATCAGCCATCAGCATGGCATGCGTAGCGTCAAGCCCAGAATCGAAGAGAAGAAGAACATACGTGAAACCCCTCGGAATATTCTGTTTCGTTTCGATGGTCCCAAACCACGGAAATTATTCGCACTCCTGAGATATGTTGTTTGGTTTGGTTTGGTTTGGTTTGGTATGGTTTGGTCTGGTATGGTTTGGTTTGGTTTGGTTTGGTTCCTTTATTCCGGACATGCAGTATACCACCCAAACCACCCACCACCCACCACCTACCACGCCACACCACTCTATTTTGCTTTGTTTCGATCGACAATTCGACATGTCGTAGCGGCCGGCAGCGCAGCGCTACCACGCTACGCTCGGACCTGGCCCTGGATATTCACCGCCCCCGTCCCATGTTTTTGCATCGCACGAACCCAAACCATCCGAGTTTGCGGAGGAGAGCAGGCGATGACCCTACGCACTACGAAGTATACCAGTACCATGCTATACTATACTCGTCCGGTACTATACGTGACGTGACGTGCTAAGGGGGAAAAAAAAAAAGGTTCATCCCCAAACAGGTCTCACGACTTACCCTCCCACCCACTTTAACACACCTTGCCCGAATAACTTAGTTGTATGGCCCTTACTATACTCTGTACTCTACTCCCGTATCGAGGGTTCGATGGACGGATAGGTAGGAAGAATGGGAAGATGGATGTCCTTTGACTTCCCGCAGGCGCAGGCGCAGGACTGATGTTCAGGTTTAATTCCTGAAACACTTCACCATCCCCCCCC